TGGATTCTGTGTCTCCCTCTCTCTCTGCCCCTCCCCGGCTCACACTCTGTCTCTTACTCTCTCAAAAATAAATAAACAGTAAAAAATATTTTTAAAAGTCTACCTTTTTTTACATTTAAGAAAGAAAAAACATGGACAGAACAGAGGGCACCAAGGACTTGGAACCTGAAGTGATTTCTGTGCCTAAGAATCATGACCAGGGGGTTTTGAAAACTGGGCATGTGTGAACTAAAGAGGCAGGCATAGGGGAGGGTTGCAAAAGTACCCAGGGCAACTGCCATGGCAATCCTACCGGTTCTAGTGGGAAACATTACCGCGTTACATATAGACAGAGAGCTTTGGAACACCTATATCTCTATCTCTATCTCTATCTCTATCTCTATCTCTTTATCCAAAATAAAATTCAAATGCCCAAGCAGGGCCTTCCTCACTAGCCCTTTCCAGCTTTGCCAGCTGTACTTCTTGCTACAACCTGCCATATACTAGGTTGTAGCCATACCTGACTATTTGCTAATCACTTATTTAGCAGCTATTTATTGAACACCTACTATATCCAAGGCTACAGGAAAATAAACAAGACCATGGCATGTTAGATGAATGAATTCACTTATTTCTTTGTGATGGCATGAGTGTGCCTAGAATGTACTCTTTTTTTTTTTTAAAGTTTATGTATTTTGCGCACACAAGAGAGAGTTAGGGAGGGCAGAGAGAGAGGGAGAGAGAGAATCCCAAGCAGGCTCCATGCTCCCAGAGCAGAGCTGGATGTAGGGCTCTAACTCATGAACTTTGAGGTCACAACCTGAGCCAAAATCAAGAGCCAGAAGCTTAGCCCACTGAGCCCACCCAGGGTACCTGGAGAAAGTATTCTTTATCTTTCTTTTTCTCTGGCCTTGAACTTGGTTTGCAGTTTTTTCCCTTTCCGGCCTGGTGAGCAGAGGCCCTTCTCTCCAGAGCAGTCTTTGGTCTTTTCTGTGACTGAGATTTGGGAGGAAACTGGGAGGCAAGAAGAAAGGCCAATGCAGGAGGGTGAAGGTCAGGGCTGGAGGAGTTTTTTAAGGGCTACAGTCTGTGGGGCTAACGAGGAAGTGAATAGGAAAGAAAGCAAAGGGTTTTAAGGAGAAGGAGTGGTGATTCTGTATCGGCGTAAAGAGTTACAAGTAAAGACTTTAAATGGTTTTAGAAATCACTTTTGGTTTTAGTTCACAGAGGCATCCTTCTGACCTAGACAGGCCTCTAGGGGCATGACTTGACTTTGCCATTCATTGGACAAAAACGGAGAGCCCTGCAATGTATAGTCACCATACAAGACCGAACAAAACAGATCTGGTCCCTCTCCTCCTGAGGCTGGAAGTAAACAAATATTGAATTACAAATTGTGATGTGTGTTTTGAAGGAAAAGAAAGAAGCACAGCTTTGTGAGTGTTTTGGGGGGAACTGCTTTATCTTTGGAACACATCTCCCCTCTTCACACTTTAAGGGTCCTTGTTCACACTTTCGGTGCTAAAATACTTTTTTTGATAGTGTATTCTATCCAAATGCTAATATTATACTGAAGAGCTTCAGTGTCACCTCGTTCAGGATGCCATGTCGGATTTCTTATTTCGGCTGCCCTCTCCTGGCACATTGCTTGCAAGTCTCATAAAACCCAATTCAGGGGCACCTGGGTGGCTCAGCGGGTTATGCATTAGACTCCTGACTTGGGCTCTAGTCTTGATCTCACAGTTTGCGAGTTAGAGCCACGCATCGGGCTCCACACTGAGAGCACAGAGTCTAATTGGGATTCTCCCTCTCCTCTCGGCCCCTTCTCCACTCATGTGCACTCTCAATCTCTCTCTTTCTCTCTCTCTTTCAAAATAGAGAAGTATTAAAAAAAAAAATTCAGGGCACCTGGGTAGCTCAGTTGGTTAAGCGTCTGACCTCAGCTCAGGTCATGATCTCAAGGTTCACGTGTTCAAGCCCCGCATGGAGCTCTCTGCTGTCCTAACGGAACCTGCTTTGGATCCTCTGTCCCCTCCTCCCTCTGCCCCGACCCCGCTTGTGTGTGTGTTTGTGTGTGTGTGTGTGTGTGTGCACGCGTGCACGCGCATGCACACACGCACACACTCTCTCAAAACTAAATAAACACTAAAAAACAACAACAACAAAAACAGGGGCTCAGCAGGTTGGATGTCTGACTCTTGATTTCAGATCAAGTCATGATCTGGCAGTTCCTGGGATAGAGCCCTGCGTGGGGCTCCATGCTGTTATCGTGAAGCCTGCTTGGGATTCTCTTTCTACCTCTCTCTGTCTCTCTCTGCCCCTCCCTCAAGTGCTCACTCTCCCCCTCTCTCAAAATATATAAACTTAAAAAAAAAATACAGCAAAAACCCCTCTATTCATTCTCCAAAGTGTGTACCTGTTGTACTGTGACCAACTCTCCCACTTTGTCTGGACTGAAGCGATTCCTGGGCAAGTTGGTCACCCTAATTTGTTGATATGTCCATCTTCCCCATTACATCCAACACTCCAGAAGGAAAGGTGATCCTTCTTATCTCTATTCATGCAAGAACTTGTACGTAGAAATAGTGATAACACTAATAACAATAATAGCTTACACTTGAATATTGACTGCACTCCTGGCCCTGTAGTTAATTCCTTAGAAGAACCAAACAGATGTAGGTCATTTCTCCTTTTTTAAAAAATATGTTTTTAAATATTTATTTATTTTTGAAAGAGGGAGAGACATAGCATGAGCAGGGGACGGGCAGAGTGAGGGAGACACAGATCTGAAGCAGGCCCCAGCCCCAGGCTCTGAGCTGTTAGCACAAAGCCTGACTCGAGGCTCAAACTCATGAACCACAAGATCATGACCTAAGCCCAAGTGGGATGTTTAACTGACTGAGCCACCCACACGCTCCCATTTCTCCTTTCTTTTTTCTTTCTTTTTTTTTTTTACTTTTCATTTCATTTTATTTTATTTATTTATTTTTTTACAAATAGTTTATTGTCAAATTAGTTTCCACATAACACTCAGTGCTCATCCCCACAAGTGTCCTCCTCCATGCCCATCCCTCCTCCCCCCCAACATCCATCAGTCCTCAGTTTTTGTCAGCATTCAAGAGTCTCTCATGGTTTGCCTCTCTCCCTTTCCCCCACCATTTCCCCCCTTCTTCTCCCCCTTGTTCCTCCGTCAAGTTCCTCCTAATCCTCCTATACGTGCAAACATACGATATTTGTCCTTCTCTGCCTGACTTATTTCGCTCAGCATAACACCCTCAAGGTCCATCCGTGTTGCTACACATGGCCAGATTTCATTGTTTCTCATTACCATGTAGTATTCCTTGGTATAGATAAACCACATCTTCTTGATCCATTCATCTGTTGATGGACACTTAGGCTCTTTCCATGTTTTAGCTATTGTGGAGAGTGCTGCTATGAACATTGGGGTACACGTGCTCCTATGCATCAGCATTTCCGTATCCCTTGGGTAAATTCCTAGCAGTGCTATTGCTGGGTCATAGGGGAGTTCTATTATTAGTTTCCTGAGGATCCCATTTCTCCTTTCTATAAAGAAATTGAAGCTAAGCCAGTTAAGCCAGGATTTGAGAGGGTAGGACTAAAGAAGAGTGTTTAATCACCACTCACTATGCCAGCACAGTGGTGATCAAACTGTTTGATCTCAGGACCTCTTTACATTCTTAAATATTACTAAGGATCTTCCCTACCAAACTCTCATGTGGGATGTATCTACTGATAGTAACTATTAGAAATTAAAACCAAGGGTTGCCTGCGTGGCTCAATCAGTTAAGTCTCCGACTCTTGGTTTTGGCTCTGGTCATGATCTTCCAGTTTCATGAGATAGAGCCCTGCATCGTAGAGCTCTACTCTGAAGGTGCAGAGCCTGCTCTGGATTCTCCTTCTCTCTCGGCCCATCCCTTGTGCATGCTCTCTCTCTTTCTCTCAAAATAAATAAATCAACATTAAAAAAAAAGTTAAAACCAAGAATTTAAGGGGCGCCTGGGTGGCTCAATGGGTTAAGCATCTGGCTTCAGCTCAGGTCATGATCTCACGGCTGGTGGGTTTGAGTCCCACCTCCAGCTCTGTGCTGACAGCTCAGGGCCTGGAGCCTGCTTCGGATTCTGTGTCTCCCACTCTCCCAGCCCGTCCCCCACTTGCACTCTCTCTTTCTCTCAAAAATGAATAAATGTTAAAAAAAATTTTTTAATTAAAAAACCCCAAGAATTTAAAACATATTCTTTCATGATTTCACTTGAACATCAATGTGCATTATTATTAATGATGCATTTTGTAAGTAAAAATACCTGTTCCTTAAAACGAAAAAACTTTAGTGCGAAGAGCGGCAAATCTCTTTAATGTCTGGCTTAATAGAAAACCTCTGAATGCTCACATCTGCTTCTTATGTTCACTTTACTATAACATAGCCTCTGGAGAACTCCACTGTCTACCGGTGAGGAAAAGAAAGTGAAAAAGGGAAATAACTACCTTAGTACGATTATGAGAAGTGTTATGAGAATGAGAAGGAGGCCTTTGGAGACCCCCTTAGGGTCCCTGGTCACTTTGGTAGGCGCTGCTGTTTTGTATGAAACAATAAATCGAGCCTTCGGACTTATTAGTGCCTTAACGGGCGGCCTCAGAAGATGAGGTAAACCTTCGGTTTGCGCGAATGCTGGGTTTTGGTTCTTAGGCCGCTGAAGCCCTACGTGGGGACACCCGCGAGGAGACAGGGAGGACATCACGCGCCTTCCCTCACCAAACTCTGACTCAAGGGTACTCACGCACCGCTCACCCTTGGACTACGACTCCCGAGAGAGCTTGCGGCAGGGGGCGTGTGCCTGCAGCTGCGGGGAGCGTGGGTCACTCAAGTCCAGTGACGGAAGTGGAGGGGGCGTGCTGTTTGAGATAGGCGCCGTGCCGCAATTGGAGGAGCCTAGGAGAGGGGGCGGAGCCAGGGTTTGGGTCAGCCAATGGTTTGAAGTCAGGCGGAAGAGGAGGACGGGGCGTGGTAGGACTCCCTCGCGGGCTGCGTGGGGCTCACCGAGCCCAGGAACGCAGGTTTGCGGGGCAGGAACGCACAGTCCCGGGGCCGGGGCCGCCGCGTGCCGAGATGGCGGCGAGATGGAGCAGCGAGAACGTGGTGGTGGAATTCCGCGACTCCCAGGTGAGCTGGGGGGCCAAATGGAGCCTTCTGGGCATGCGCCCTTCGTGGTTCCCCTCCCCCACGCTGCCGAGTCTGTCTGGGGGGTGCCAGGGCTATCCTCTACCCCCCTCTGGGGAGATGGGTAAGGGGTTGGCCCGGAGCTGTCAGAGCCGAGCGGGCGAGGGGAGCCTTTGATGACCTTAGGGGGCTGTTGGGGAGAGCGCTGATGGGGTATCGGGGTTCCCCGCGGTGGTCAAGGTAGTAGGGTCTACCTTGGGACACCGAAGCGCAGAGATTGCGGGCGAGTGAGTGCTGGGGGAAGGCTTTCCTAGACCAGGGTGGCGAGGAGAGGGTATGCTCCCCGAGGCCGGGGACTCGAGGCGTAGTGACTTTGAGTGAGTCGCACAACTTCTCTGAGCCTCAGCTGCGTGGACTTAAATTAACCTTTCCTCACAGGACTTTGGAGTGGATTCGATTAAAAGAAAAACAAAACTGCGTGTAAAGTGCCTGTTTCAGCAACTAAGCTTTTAAGTGGTTGCTGATGCTAGAATAGTGGAAAATATTATATACAGGTTAGGAGTGTGCGCTGCATCTGTTGCTCGGGTTCGAATCCTGGCTTAGCCCTAGTCCGTCATTCCCTCGCAGCGTTTGAGTTTTCTCCCAGGTGAGAAGGTGCGAGTCGTTCCTACATCCTAGGGTTGGCGTGAGAATTTTATGAGGTCATACATTTAGAATATGTGGCATAGTGACGGGCACGTGGTAAACCTCAAGGGACTTTAGAGAGATTTTTACCATTTTTCTGTTTCATGCCTTTGTAATTGCCTGGCCTTATGCTAAGTGGTTTATCCACATTTTCTAATTCATGAAAGAACCAAGATAAGTAAATGTTTTCCGATGTTATTCCCCCTGCCCCCCTTTTTTCCCCAAAGGAGGAAGAGGATCTCTGTTTGGGTGGTCTCGAGTGACTTGGCCAAGGCCTCCCGTTTTGTGGGCCAGATTGGCAGTTGAATGTGGGCATCTGGCACCAGGGATCTTGTTGGGTTCATTGCACCCCTTTGCTTCATTCTCTAGTAATCTGTCGTACAGTCATTCCACAATTAATATCCCATTTCTCCTATCCCGTCACCCCCGAATCACAGGGTCTTAGTGATTCTCTACTTGTTCAACAAATACTTACTGGCTACCTTCTGTGGGCCAGGCTTTCATTCACAGGTTTATTCAAGAATTTATCGAGCACTTGCCTGGAGCACAGCGCACATTGTACCAGGACTCAGATGATTAATACCGAAGGGAACTCTGGATTACAACAAGGGGTGATGTGCTTTCTTCTTTCTAGAACTCCATCCCCCCCCCTTTTTTTTTGCCATAAAGATTAATGAGTGGAGAGCCACCCGCCGCTTTGCTATGTGGTCCCCTCTGATACATAGCCCCTATGGAGAATTTGAGCGGCAGCATTCGGATTAAAGGTTTCTGAGGCACTTTGCACTGTCAGCCTGGTGTCTCTGGGAGGCCTGCTGTCCCAAGGGAGGCGCCAGACTCCTAGGGAAGAGTAAGTGTCCTCCCGTTACCCTTCTTGTTAATTGCTTTCACTGGGGACTAAGAACAGACTCCTGTATGGTACCTCTGAGCCTGCTAATTTGGAAGCTACTAATCTGCAAATGCTTTAATTCTCACTGAAACCCAGGCAGTCCCACCCCTCCTTCTCTATAGAGATGTAATTGGCGAAACCTGCTGAGAGGTGCTGACACGTATATTAGGACGCATGAAGTAATAGCAAATAATTAAACCTGAACAGCAGTTGTCATAGGAAGAGAACAAAGTAAATTGGGTAATTTAACTGCCTTGCGGGAGCTTCTCTTTTTCTTTTTGATTTTTCTATTCAGTTGGAAGGGTGCAACCTAGTTTGAATTAGAGTTTTGTGGTTGTTTCTGGTGGCAACAGGGAGGGATCTGGACTTACTTTATTAACTGTTTCATTAAGTTAGAAAGAAAAAAAAACCTTTTCCTATTGTCTTTTTGAAAAGGAAAGCCAAAACAATAAACTTTTCAAAACACCCTGCCTCTTTTAAAAACCGTTTTTTATGGGCACCTGGGTGGCTCAGTTGGTTGAGCATCTGACTGCGGCTTAGGTTGTGATCTCACGGCTTGTGAGTGTGAGTCCCGTGTCTGGCTCTGTGCTGACAGCTCAGAGCCTGGAGCCTGCTTCAGATTCTGTGTCTCCTCTCTCTACCCATCCCCTGTTTGCTCTCTCTCTCTCTCAAAAATGAGTAAACATTTAAAAAAAAATTTTAACCTTGTTTTTTAAAAAATTAAAGAATTTTGGTCTTTCAGAGAAAAAGCCCAGCCTGAAAGGTGAAACTTTTTTTTTCTTTAGAAGGATATTATTTGAATTAAGGTTTTTTGTTTTTTTAAAATGTTTATGTTTTTTTTTTAATTTTTAAATATTTATTTTTGAGAGAGAGAGACAGCACAAGTAGGGGAGAGGGGGACACAGAATTGGAAGCAGGCTCCAGGCTTTGAGCTGTCAGCACAGAGCCCGATGCGGGGCTTGAACCCACAGAACGTGAGATCATGACCTGAGCCAAAGTCGGACGCTTAACCGACTGAGCCACCCAGGTGACCCTGTTTATGTTTGAAAGAGAGACAGAGCATGAACAGGAGAGAGGCACAGAGAGAGGGATACACAGAATCTGAAACAGGCTCCAGGCTCTGAGCTGTCAGCACAGAGCCCGACACGGGACTCACACTCACAAGCCGTGAGATCACGACCTAAGCCTTAGTCAGATGCTCAACCAACTGAGCCACCCAGGTACCCTGGAATTAGTTCTTTATTGATAGTTTCTTTATTGGTGGTAATCTCTTTATAATACTCTTTTATTCATTTTTTATTTTTATTTATTTTTTAAAGCTTTTATTTATTTATTTTGAAAGGGAGTGAGAGAACACATGTAGATGCACGTGTGGTGGGGGACAGAGAAAGGGGGTGGGGGAGAGAGAGCGAATCCTAAGCAGGCTCGGCACTGACGGTGGAGCTCAAACTCACAAACCATGAACCGTGAGATCATGACCTGAGCTGAAGTCAAGTGTTACATGCTTAACCAACTGAGCCACCCAGGAGCCCCAAGTGAAACTCTCTTTTTTCACATTTTCTACTAGTGTTATTCACTTTATAAACCAAAGCTTGAGGTGTTACTGTCACCGATTAGTAGGGAAGAACCTGTGGTACTTGGCAGCTGCTCTGAAGGTCCCTGGAATGGAGGAGTGTTAACACCGCGACACAATGGAGAGATGACTTCCTAGAGCAACACTGTCCAGTAGAATTTGCTGTGTTGATGAAAATGTGGCCATTGAATACTTGAAATGGGGCTAGTGCAACTAAGAAATTGCATTTTTAATTTAATTAAACTTTAATTCATTGCCAGTTAAAATAGCCACTTGTAGCTAGTGGCTATGCTGTTGCATTGGAGGTGAAAGAGTTTTCACTCTGAGACGTAAGATGGTGGAGTGTGCAGTTCACTAGCTCTAAACCAACAGGAAGAGCAGAAACAGTTCAAAATACGACTGTGATGAAGGCAGGAATTCAAACCCATAGCTACAGTTTGCTCAATGTCTCTGCTTTGCCAGCAAGGAGCTGTCTCAACTCAGTCTTCCAAAGTAGCTGGACATGCTCGGCACCACTCTCCCTGCACCCTGGCTTTTTGCTTCCTTCCAGTTTGTCTTCCACAGTGCCAGAGTGGTTTTTTTTAAGGCTTTTTTTTTTTTTAAGTTTATTTTGAGAGAGAGAGAAAGAGAAAGAGCGAGCACGTGCATGAGTGGGAAAGGGGCAGAGAGAGAGACAGAAAATCCCAAGAAAGCTCCAAGTAATCACTATAGGGCTCTAACTCAAACCATGAGATCACAATCTGAGCTGAAATCAAGTGTTGGATGCTTAACCAGCTGAGCCATCTAGACGCCCCCTGGTTTTAAAAACCAGGTTTATTGAAGTATAATTAATGTACAATAAAAGCCCCCCCCCTTTTAAGTGTTTGATTTGTTGAGTTTGGCCAATGTATATAGTCCTGTGGCCATCACCACAATTAAAATACAGAACCCCTCCACAGAGTTCCCTGGTACCCCTGTGTAGCCAGTCACAGCGCCACCCTCTGGCAGCTGCTGAGATGGTTTATGTAAGACAAGGAATGTACGTGTGGAGCGTGGAGCCCTTTAAACCTGGCGTCTCACACTTAGCCCAGTGCCTTGACATTCATCTGTGTTGAGCATCCCATTTAGTCTTTTCCTTTTTATTGCCCACCACTAGTGTTCCAGAGTGTGGAGAGGCCACAGTCTATCTATCCATACGCCTGTTGGTGGATATTAAAGTTGTTACCACTTTTTGGCAATCATGATTAAAGCGATAAAATATCAAGGTGATGTTTTTAAAACCTTAGTTTTTTCATATCCCTCCTTTGATGAAAATGCTTCAGTGACTTCCTGTTGCGTGGAGTGTAGAATATAAATTCCTTATTTTGGACTGTTTTGTGGGCTGGTCTCTGCCTACATCTCAGATCACATCTTGTACCACTTTCCCCCTCCGTCACTGTTTATTTTCATCTTTCTCCGACTGCTCTGGGGCGGCTCCCTGAGGGTTGAGACTTTGTCCTATTGACTCCTGTATCCCTAGTGCCTAGAATAGTGCTTGGTATACAGTAGCGCTCAACAGATATTTGTTGAATGAATAAATGTAAAAAAACAATTATGTTGATTAGCAGTGCTAACATGAATTAGGAAAAAGGTGTTTAGGTTTTCGTGATTTTAAAAATAAATTTTAGGGGGCGCCTGGGTGGCTTAGTCGGTTAAGCGTCCGACTTTCGCTTAGGTCATGATCTCGCGGTTCGTGGGTTCGAGCCCTGCATCGGGCTCTGTGCTGATTGCCAGCTCAGAGCCTGGAGCCTGTTTCAGTCTGTGACTCCCTCTCTCTCTGACCCTCCTCTGCTCACGCTGTCTCTCTCTCTCTCCTAGAAATAAATAAAACATTAAAAATAAATAAAAATTAAAAAAAATAAATTTTAGAATAATTTTAGACTTACAGAAAACTTGGGAAGATAGTACAGAGAGTTCCCATCTGCCCTGCACCCATTTTCTCCTGTTAAAAGTATCTTACACTGTGGGGCACCTGGGTGGTTCAGTTGGTTAAGCATCTGACTCTTGGTTGGTTCAATCCCTGTAGTCTTAATGTCGGCACGGAGCCTTCTTGGGATTCTCTCTCCTCCTCTCTCTGCCCTTCTCCTGATAAGTTCATGCTTGTGCTCTCTCTGTCAAAATAAACAAAAACTTTAAAAAAAATTTATAGAAACATCTTATACTAGTATGGTGTATTTTCTATAATTAACACATCAATATTGATGTTAGTAACCCAAATCCATACTTTACTCAGATTTCCTTGTTTTTTTCCTAATGTCCTATTTCTGTTCTGAGATTCCATTCAGGACACTACATACGTGGTGAGACATTTACATACATCTCCTCAGGCTTCTTGACTGTGGCAGTTTCTCAGATGGTGTCTTTGATGACTTTGACAGTCTTGTGGAGTGCTAGTCAGGTGTTTGTAGAATATCCCTCAGTTGAGATTTGTCTGATGTCTTTCTCATGATTAGACTGGGCTTATGGGTTTGCGGGAGGACCCGAGAGATAATGTGTCATTCTCATCACATGGCATCTTACTGTGAAAGTGACATATCACTATTGATGTTGACCTGGCTGAAATAGTGCTTGTCAGGTTTCTCTGCTGTAAACTTACTCTTTTTGCCTTCTGTCTGTACTATACTATTTAGAAAATAGTCTGTATATACAGCCTAAATTTATTTATTTGTTTTTAAAATTTTTTATTAAAATTTTTTTAATGTTTATTTTTGAGAGATAGAGACAGAGCACCAGTTGGGGAAGGACAGAGGGAGTCGGAGACACAGAATCAGAACGAGGCTCCAGGCTCTGAGCTGTCAGCACAGAGCCGGACATGGGACTTGACCCCATGAACCATGAGATCATGACCTGAGCCAAAGTTGGCCACTCAACCAACTGAGCCATCCATCTAGGCGCCCCCTTCGCCCCTCACAGCCTAAATTTAAACAGTGGGGAGTTCATTGGTTCATTCTTTTTTTCTTTCTTGAATTAGTTGCTTATATCAGTGTGATATTTATTTTATGCTTTGGATTATAATCCAATACTACTTTATTATATTTATTTTGTTGTTCCAGTTGTCCCAGCCTTTACCAGTTGGAGCTCTTTCAGGCGGTTCATGTATTCCTTCGGCATACCCCCATCGTTGTTTGCACTTGTTTGTATGTTTTGTTGGTTTGTATGTTTTTAAAATACACAGTGCTTCCTTATTTTCTGGTGCTGTAAGATGCTTAACTCTCACCTTGTGTATTTTCCTGCCCCAGTTCCAAAATTAGCCATTTGTCCAAGGAGCCCTGGTCTCTTTTATTGGAGAAGCACATCAGGTCCTGAGGCCGGGTTAAAGAAGTGCTTGTTGCTTTTGGGGTGTCGTTGCTTCCAGGCATTCTTATCTGACAACACAGGAAATATATATGCATGTTAATCCATGAATATATGTGTATCTGTAAGTATATGTATATGTAACCATGGGTATATTAAGCTGAACATGAGTTCATGTACTCTAATCCGTGATCACAAGTGTCGTTGTGGCTCTCCCCTTTGCTTATCAGTAATCTCCCAGGCCAGTCATGAGAAACGGGGCCTCAGCCATCCTCCCTCCATTTACTTAATCGTTCAATCCAAAATACATGGATGGTGATTTCAGGATTGTTAACCTATACCCTTATAGGAGTGACTTTATCAGCTGGAGTGCAGCGCTTAGGTACAGTTATTTTCCCCTTTAGTCTTACAGACTCCACTAAGGTTTTCATCATTTTTAAGCAGGCTTTCACTTCTTCACAGTGTGGTCTAGTCCTTCCTGCCTGCCTACCTTCCTTCTTCCTTCCTTCTTTTCTTTCTTTCTTTTCTCTCTCTCTCTTTCTATCTTTCTTCTCTCTCTTTCTGAAGATTTTATTTTATTAAAAAATTTTTTTTAGTGTTTTCTTATTTTGAGAGAGAGAGCATGCATGAGTACAGGCCCGCACACTGGGGAGGGGCAGAGGGAGAATCCTAAGAAGACTCTGTGCTGTCAGCTCAGAGCCTGACATGGAGCTTGATCCCATGAACTATAAGATCATGACTTGAGTCGAAATCAGGAATCCAGCACTTAATTGACTGAGCCACCCACCCACCCCAGAAGTGTATTTTTAATGCAGTTGAATTTATGGGTTGTGCTTTTTCAGTCTTTTTAAGAAAAATCTATATTCTGGGTTCATAGCGGCATTCTCCAGCACTTTTTTTTCTTGCTACTCAGTTTCTTCTTTTTGAGATTAAAAATGAAGCGTCTGAACAGAAAGTGTTTTCCCTGCTGCCCTAATGGTGGGTGACTTATTAGTCTCAGAATTACAGTGGCTCTTCCAGACCAATAAAAATTGAGGCTTTTTTTTCCCTCTAAATAAACAAACCAAAAACAAAACACAACTCAGCAAATTCTTTAACTAAGAGGATATGAATAGTTAATATAGTCCAGACGTTTTCCTGGAGCAGTCCAGCTTTGGTCCCAGCTTTTCCAGTTTCCCTAAAAGTTCGTTTTGAAAGCTATGAGGGTGGAAGGGCATAGTAGGGCTGTTTTTGGTGGAAGTGACTATTATGTTGTAAATGTTGCAAATTACTTGTTTCCTACAAGATGTGATGTAAAGATCCAGTGATGAATGGGAGGAGAGTATGTACAGTCAAGAGTTGAAGGGTTTGGAGCTGGAGCGCGATGGTAGGATCCAGGTTATGTCATCTATCTGCCCTGTGATCTTGGGCACGTTAGCTCCTTTTAAGTTTCCATTTCTTTATGCATAGGACAAGAGTCATAGTATCTGCCTGCATCCAGGATTCCCCGCCCCCTGCCTCCTGGTTTCACTAGGAGGATTCACAGTTCTGGTTGCAGGTACAGTTTGTACAGTGAAAGGACACAAAGCAAATTCAAAGTGAAGAGGCACATGGCATGAAGTCTGGAGGAAACTAGGTGCAAGAGACCTTTCCCCATGGAGTCCCTCAGGACATGCTTAATTCCTCCAGTATTGAATTATAGCAAAGCATGTGAAATGTCTACGAGGGAAGCTCATTACAGACTTCATGCCCAAGGTTTGTATTTGGGGCAGGTCACACAGGCTCCCTCGGGAGCACATGAACCACAGCTGCACACGCCCAGAAGGGCGGCAGGCACTCAGCATAAACCACGGTGTTTGAACACAGAGTGAAGGCACAGTGAGCCACTCATCAATTAGGGAATGGTGGGAACACTCCAGATCCAAGTCCCCGGACGCCAGCCAAAAGCCAGCCTTGTAAGCAGGCCTGTCTGAGGTTAGCGTCTCGAGCCTGTTGCGGTCTTTTCTGCACACCACCTGACAGTTAATGTGAGGATTAAGTGAGATAATCTACACAGAGCACTTAGCACAGTGATCAGCATATATTAAGTGCTTGCCACGTATTAATTATTATGATTATATTAGAAAACGTGTGTAAGGAAGCAACAGCCTGACAAGATAGCCTCATGGAGCCAAGAGCACTTTTGGAAGACAGCTCATCTACCCTCTTATTTTATAGATGTGTGACCTGAGATTCAGGAAGGTTAGGTGATTCTGCTAGTGATACGACTCTGTGCCATCTTAGCTGATGGAACGTGAGGATGTTCTCATTTTAGAGCGAGACTTCCCAAGAAACACCAGTTGTGCTGAGTGTGTGAACAGAACCTCGGATATAAACCTCTAGAAAGCATTAGACAAGGCTGGTTCAAGAGCAGCCGTGGCAGCAGTGGCTGTCTCTGATTTAAACATTGGATATTGTCATTTGAGGTGCTCTGATCCTTTTTATGTCAGTGGGTTTCAGTGTGTGGTTTTATTCTATAAAATATGATAGTACATACGATATAGTCACTGCTCAGGCATGTGACAGACTGATTTGCAGTGGACAGACCTAGCTCTGATTTGCGTTGACTGGATGTTTCCAGTTTGCATCGTTTGGAAGTGTTTTCATATTTTCAAACAGCTCTTTCGAATTTAGCTGAGGTTGAAAGAGGAAGAGTTGATTTCTTTGCTAGTTTGTTTGAAGAAATAAACCCTGGATTTTGTTCTGCAGAGAGCAGTGGTCTGTATAGGGAGGCTTTCTTTTGCATTGAATCAGGGTAGAAAGACAGTCCTATGAAGCTGTATTATTATCTTCCCAGAGAAATAGGCTTTCTAACAGAACCATTGTGTTTATACCAAAATTTAACTGTAAATCCAAAATGAATTGGTAATGCAATCCATCTCCAAATTCAGTGTCACCTGACCATTGTAAAGTATCATACTTGTTGTTTTCTAAAAGATGCAAATGTTAACTCAGGAAACAACAGATGTTGGTGAGGATGAAGAGAAATGGGAACCCTCTTGCGCTGTTGGTGGGAATGCAAACTGGTGCAGCCACTCTGGAAACAATGTGGAGGTTCCTCAGAAAGTTAAAAATAGAATTACCTTATGATTCACCAATAGCACTACTAGGAATGTATCCAAAGGGTACCAGAGTGTTGATTCATTGGGACATACATAATCTCAATTGTTAGCAGCGCTAACAATAGCCAAAGTATGGAAAGAGCCCACATGTCCATCAGCTGATGAATGGATAAAGAAGATATGGTTTATATACACAATAGAATACTACTTGGCAATGAGAAATAATGAAATCTTTCCATTTGCAGCAATGTGGATGAAACTGGAAGGTATTATGCTAAGTGAAATAAGACAGAGAAAGATAAATGTTTTCACTCATATATGGAATTTGAGAAACTTAACAGAAAATCATGGGGGAAGGGAAGGGAAAAAAATAGTTTCAGAGAGGGAGGCAAACCATAAGAGACTCTTAAATACAGAACGCAAACTGAGGGTTTATGGGGGGGACGGGGGAGAGGAAAATGAGTGATGGACATTGAGGAGGGCACTTGTTGGGATGAGCGCTGGGTATTGTATGTAAGGGATGAACATGGGAATCTAGTCCCGAAACCAAGAGCACACTGTATTTTATCAATTTTGGGTGGGTGGGGGTAGCAGTTTTATTGAGATCTAATTCACCTATTGTATAATTCACCTATTGAAAGTGTACATGATTTAGTGGGATTTAGTACGTTCACAGAATGAAACCATCACCACAGTCATTTTTAGAACATTTTCATCACCCCAGGAAGAAACCCTGTACCCTTTAGTCATCACCCCTCTGCCCCCTGTCCTCCAACTCCCCCCTAGCCCCATCCAATCACTAATCTGCTTTCTCCTCTATAGATTTGCCTATTTGGACATTTCCTAGAAATGGAATAATAGAATATGTGATTTTCATGACTGACTTCTTACATTTTATTTATTTATTTATTTATTTATTTTTAGTCTTTATTTTGAGAGAGACAGAGAGTGAGTGGGGGAGGGGCAGAGAGAGGGAGAGACAGAATCTGAAACAGGCTCCAGGCTCTGATCTATCAGCACAGAGCCCAATGCAGGGCTTGAACCCACGGACTGGGAGATCATGACCTGAGTTGAAGTCGGATGCTTAACTGACTGAGCCACCCAGGCGACCCTCATTTAGTTCTTTTAAAGGCTCATGTATGTTGTATGTATCAGAAGCTCAGTCCATGGAGCGCCTGGGTGGCTCATTCGGTTAAGTGTCCCACTTCGGCTCAGATCATGATCTCGCAGTTCGTGGGTTCGAGCCCCACATCAGGCTCTGTGCTGACAGCCATCTCAGAGCCTGGAGCCTGTTTCAGATTCTGTATCTCCCTCTCTCTCTGACCGTCCCCTGCTCAGGCTGTCTGTCTCTCAGAAATAAATAAAAACATTAAAAATATTTATATAAAAAAAAGACAAGTAGAATTTCAACAGCAGAGTAAGTGAAACGGACTTTCCAGGTGGGAAGAGGAGCTTAAGCATCTCTTTAGAATTGGGAGCATCGCTGACCTTGGAGATGGGAGAGCTTTGAATGGGTGTGGCCCTGGCAGGTAGAGAAGGAAGGTCAGACTGAAAAGTTCTGGAAGCATCTAATTTCTTATGTTCCCTACGGAACACCCTACGGAAAGGTCTGAAGGCTGACGAGTTTCCACTTGATTGTCTTCAGTAGAAAATCAAGGAAGGTTTCAGAGCAGTGGATTGACGTAGTCAGAACTCCGCTATCAGAAGTTCCGTGTCGGGTGGAACAGAGGGGAAAGGTACGCTGTCTGAGGTTGCTGTCCGCCAGGCTGCAAGCGTTTGGGCCTGGGCTAGGATGGGAGGCGTGGAAACAGAAGAGGCTTGGGATGCCTTTGAAAAAAGGTATTTTTTAAATTGGAAAGTCATTTAAATATGTAAATAATATAAAAATATAGGCTCATTAGAGGAATAAAACAAAAACCCTATGGGAACAACTACCATCGAAACATTCTCATACATGTTCTTCAGTGTTTTTTAAGGTGTAAGTAGCTGATTTAAATTTCAGTTCATAGTAGGTATAAAATACTACTTTCCTTTACTCCTCTAAGTCTTTAATCTCCCTTCCTACAGGCTGCTGGCAAATTCTTCCACAGGGAATTCTCTCCTAGCCATCACTGGGGCTCCTTTCCTCTCTTGCAGCAGGATCACAGGGTTCCTGTGCTTCTTAACACCCTGATGCCCACACTTAGCATTTCCCTGCCAGTCCCTGCCTGTGCCGGAGGTGAGGAGGCCTTCCGGGGGACTTCTGTCCCCTACGGAACACCAGCTTCCACTCTGGTTAGGGGATCTTCACTTTTCTGCTTTCCCTCTTTCCATTCTCCCTGACAGCCCAGCATGACCGTCTGTCATGTGCTGCTACCAACATGATGTTGGCCCCTGTTTCCTGAGTGGGGGTAGGGAGGCAGCAGTTAGGTGGGTTTCTTGTCTTCCTTTTAAATAATAACTTCCTCTAATGAGGTGATATGGTGAGTTATGATACTCTCTTTGCAGTTTTGGCTCCTGCATTTTTCTGTGTCACTTTTAAACACTTTCAGAATATTCTATTATGTAAATATGCATAATTTACTTGTAGATAACATGAAATGATTGGGGCACCTGGGTGGCTTAGTCGGTTAAGCGTCCGACTTTCGTTTAGGTCATGATCTCGCGGTTCGTGGGTTCGGGCCCCGCGTCGGGCTCTGTGCTGACTGCCAGCTCAGAGCCTGGAGCCTGTTTCAGTCTGTGACTCCCTCTCTCTCTGACCCTCCCCTGCTCATGCTGTCTCTCTCTCTCTCTCCGAGAAAGAAATAAAAACATTAAAAAAATTAAAAAAAAAACAAAAAAAACCATGAAATGATCAACTCTATATAAAAGTTTTTATGTTTTTGGATGGATTCTGGAGGTGGAATTTTTGAGTCAAAGGGCATGATTTTATGATTATTATTAATTATTGTTACTGGCTCACTCTTTGTTATCCCTGTACCACAAACTTAGCGGGTTGAAATAGTGCCCACTGATTGGCTCACAGTTCTGTCCTTCAGAGGTCCAGGCACTGCACGGCTGTTTTCTCTGTTTAGTCCCCTAAGGTGTCAGTTGGCTGTGTTCTCATCCAGAGGCTCAGTGGCCTAAGGAAGAATCAGCTAAGAGACCAATTCACATTGTTGGCAGAAAGAAACTGAGGTCCCTGTTTCTTTTCTTTTCTTTTTTTTATTATTATTTTTTATTCTTTTTTAAAATTTTTGAGTTTCAGTCTTCATGTTTTATGAAATAAAAAGTTTGGCCTTTTTATTGCATGAAACCAAAAGTGGCACAGGTTGGGGGACCAGTGGAGGAGGGTGGGGGCTGAGGAGGAGCTGGGAGACACCCCTTCCCCAGCTCCTGGGTAATGACACCTCACTTCTTGCATAATTTCTGGCATCTTCCCACCTGGAATGCGGGCTCTCCACATCTCGGAGAAAAGGAGGGGATCACATGCTCATTGTCATAACGGCATTCTGGAGGGGTGGAGGAAGTTCCCTCCTCGCTCACTATCATCTCAAGGGGTTTTCTTTTTTCTTTCATTTTTTTTTTGAAGTTTATTATTGATTTTAAGAGAGAGAGAGAGAGAGAGAGAGAATCCCAAGCAGGCCCAGTGCTGTCAGCACACAGCCCTATATGGGTCTTGATCCCACAAAGAACGAGATTGTGACCTGAACCAAAATCAAGAGTTGGATGCTTAATAGACTGAGCTACCCAGGTGCCCCTTCTTTCATGTTGAAGTAAGTTCTGCACCCAACATGGGGCTTGAACTCCTGACCCCGAGATCAGGAGTCACGTGCTCTACCAACTGAGCCAGAGCCAGCTGCTCCTTTTAAAAATGTCTTACTGAAATCTCTGTTTTCTTGCTGGTTGTTATTTAGGGAACACTCTCAGCTCCTAGAGGTCACTTTCAGGGCCTTGCCATGTGGCCCCACCTCCGCAGCTAGCAGCAATCTTCCTGACATAAATGCCTCATCCTTAGACTCTCTGAGTGCCTCTGCTTCTGAGCTCTACACCTAGACTCACAGGGCTGAAGTGATTAGGTTTCTCTCCCCACAACCCTCAAACAGAAACTCTGTACTCAGTGAACAGTAACTCCCCATCCCCTACTCCCTGCCCCCTTCCACTTCTGTTCTGCTTTCCCTTATGAATTTACCCATCCTAGGTACCTCATGTAAGTGACTTCCTGCAATATTTGTTCTTTTGTGCCTGGCTTCTTTAACTTAGCATAATATTTTCTTTTTTTTTCTTTTTTTACAAATAGTTTATTGTCAAATTAGTTTCCACATAACACTCAGTGCTCATCCCCACAAGTGCCCTCCTCCATGCCCATCCCTCCTCCCCCCAACATCCATCAGTCCTCAGTTTTTGTCAGCATTCAAGAGACTCTCATGGTTTGCCTCTCTCCCTTTCCCCCACCATTTCCCCCCTTCTTCTCCCCCTTGTTCCTCCGTCAAGTTCCTCCTAATCCTCCTATACATGCAAACATATGATATTTGTCCTTCTCTGCCTGACTTATTTCACTCAGCATAACACCCTCAAGGTCCATCCATGTTGCTACACATGGCCAGATTTCATTGTTTCTCATTGCCACGTAGTATTCCATGGTATAGATAAACCACATCTTCTTGATCCATTCATCTGTTGATGGACACTTAGGCTCTTTCCATGTTTTAGCTATTGTGGAGAGTGCTAGCATAATATTTTCAAGGTTCATCCATACAATATTACGTATGCCATTGTATGCGTACACCACGTTTTGTTTGGACATTTGGGTTGTTTCAGGTCGCTTTATCTTAAGGTCAACTGATTTGGAACCTCAATAGCATCAGCTAAATCCCTTCACAGTAGCACCTAGGGTAACGTTTGAATAACGAGGAGAATGTGTGTGTACAGCAGGGGCCCAGAATGTTGGGTCCACCTTGGGATTCTGCCTACCACACACCCCCTGGAAAGATTGTACTACCCCTGGTTGGAGGTACCATCTTGCCTGCTTTCATACTTTTAATCTATAAATTGTTCAGAAGTGTGTGGAAATTGCATCTCATTTCACTGCCTGCCT